TTTGGTCGAAGGATTGGCTTCATATGTCTCTTTGACGAGTTGTTGTGTGGTGCTAAGAATGGCGATACACACTGACGATGCCGGCGAAACGTCTGGGAATGTACCATGTCAACGGTCCTACTCTGGATATTAAAATGCATACAATGGACTCCAGGCTAGGTGCGTTTCTCTAAGTCTTCCTACCAATATGACCAAGTTGCGAAAAAAAAGTCAAACAACCTCGATATACTTTTAGTTTTTTTACCTTGCCTACAAGTTATTTATTCATAACAAATCTTAAGCCAAACTAAGAGAAAAACTAGACGTTAAGGAATGCTATGTACTTGTGCGAAGTTTACTTTAAAAGAATTCTGAATTATAGAGTTTGTAGTGTGTGTTACAGATGATTTAACAATATGGAGCTTGTACCAAAAAGAATAATATTCATATTCTACATTAAAATGCTGGTAATAATTTGAGAAAATATTCTGTGGTAAATATATGAAGACGTTACAATAAGCGAAGTCTGAAATCATTCATTAATGTATACGCATACAAGATGATGTTATTTGTCTATCGCATAGGGCTGGGAACTGTGAAAGAAGATAACTAGTAAATATAATTTGAAGATATTGAGATCAAAATGTTGTGAACTCTCTTTGGGTCGCAGTTCCTTTACACTTTATAGAAGTGGTCTGACCTTATTTTCGCTACTTGGTCTTGTTGTCAAGGCAAGCTACTTGGGCGCACCTCTTCCTAAATCTTCTATAGTAGTCATGATAATTCCCAGTCTTGGACAGTTGACTCGTTAGATTCCCAGACCTATCGTCGACACATAAATCAGCATCGTCAGTGAATCTTGCCATCCTTGAACGCAAGTTACAACGCGTCACATAGACAGATGAAATCAATCCCTCGACCAATGCTACGCTAAAGAGTTGTTCTATAGATTATTTCCTGATTCATCTATGAGCTCCATATCTTCGTATCTCACTCCGTCCCCATCATAATTTCTGATTTGCTTATATTCGATCCCCCAGAAATGTGCCCAGTTTGGCAAGTCTGGTGGAGCGTTATCGCACCTACTTGTTCACATTGCCCCGCCCTTTCAATTTGCCAGAATTGCTGAACCAACTCGTACTTCCTATACCAATCCTCCTCATGACCTGGAAGATTCTTTTATTATTTTACAGGTTGACTGCTTTAATTCGGTTCCAGTCACAATATACGTTTACTATTGAAGTACGCTCTATTTCATTTTAAGAGGCGAATGAATGGGATTTGTAAGTTAGTTTAACCGGAAGCCGAAGGAGGCTGACTTGAAGCTGTGACTATAGATTTGTGCAACAAAATCCTGGACTTGCCGTACCTCGATTGACGGATCTTTCCACTATATCCAAGACCCTCGCTGTGAAGACATTACAATAAGCGAAGTCTGAAATCATTCATTAATGTATACGCATACAAGATGATGTTATTTGCCTCTCGCATAGGGCTGGGAACTGTGAAAGAAGATAACTAGTATATATATATATATATATATAGAGAGAGAGAGAGAGAGAGACAGAGACAGAGAAATAGAGAGAGAAGAGTATGTGTATACGTAAAGTGCTCAATGGAAACATTTAGGTTCTGTTGAAGGACTTACTCCAAGGAATCATCCATTTCGGGGGCAGCTTTGGACATCGCTGCCCAATTGATGGGCTTTCCAGCTTCGATATAAAGCTTGGTTAGGATGGAGCGGAAGGGCTCAGTATGGCTCACCCATTCAAGAAGACCTCCTTTTTCGCTTAGTGGAATCACAGCCTGGTGATGAAGAATCAAGTGTTAAGGATAAACGAATGAAAAGCACAAAATGGAAATATAATTATATTCAATAAAAATGAATTACACTTAATCCGAAGAGTTCTTATCATGACGTAAACGAGGACCATTTATAAAGTGTGGTAAAGAAATTAAAACAAGCCCCCTTTAATACCTTAAAGAATTTTTCCAAATTCAGAATAAAAAAAGACAAAAGCTGCTGAAATATAATATTTGGCTGAGTAAATCTTACGTATGTTCTAATTTGTAAAGCCCTTTGACGGGTTTCCGAATTTCTTGCTAGAAATTTATTAATCATTCCATTCAATTCCATAAGGCGGCAATCTTTTCTGAGATCGTCCTAGAAAGAAAAACGAAAAATGATATATATATATATATATAAGCTTAATAATAATGAAACTATAAATCTATCAAAATTTTTCGTGCACAATTAAAATCTAATATAACTAAAGGTGATACATGCATATAGGCAGGATGGACTTACGTTCGGCTTAGCAACTATAACATACTTCCTTCCATCACTGCCAAGCCAAGTCATCTTCTTAGGCCTGGTCTGTGAGCTTAATATCTCCACGACATCTTCGATGTGAGAAAGAGTGATGAGGCCAGATCCTGATTCTGCCAAAAGGTGTTTTAAGAGATGATTTTAAATACAAAATTATAACATAGGATATTGAGAATAAATGAAGTTTAATGACGTCCCTAATAATTTCCTGTCATTGTAAAATCATTGTATCATGTGAAAGATAGACAGAAAAGGTGCACTGGAAACAAAAGGACTTCTTAAGATTTAATACTGCTGAATGGTTAGAAGAGGTATTAATCACCACGTCATCAGTCATCGATGAATCAGTTCTGAGGCATCATCTGCCACGTAAAATTCATTGTTATAATGTGAAACCGAGCTGGCCATTAATTTATAAATGTCTAAGCAAATTAATGG